AGGATTGTATAGACAGCTCTTTCTTTGGCCAAGATAACACAAATTTTAATTTCCCCCCAAGAATCTATGTCTAAGACCCCACTCATTGTTTGTGACTCTCCAAGATTTGTTTTCAAGAATTTATTACACTTCTTAATATATGAACGTAAGAGTGTGACACTAGATAATCACTGAAATAGCCTGGAGAGATTTGGGATCAGATTCCAAACTTTAGAATCAGATTCACCTGGGAAGAAATCCTAGCTCTGCCAATTTATTTCTTCTATGATCTTGAAATAATATGTCCTTTCACAGATGAGGAGTGTAAGATATTTATTTTCCAAATATTTATTGAAATTTTACTATATGCCAGTGTTTGGGCAGCAACAATGAACAAAAGAAATAAGGTCCCTACTCTCACAGAACTTATATGTCAAGGACAGTATAGACAAGTTTGTAGGCTATCTCAATATAATGCAACAGGTATCTGATTGGAAATCCTGGGTGCTATATATATAGAAAGGGTATGCAAGCCAGACTTGAGGGCCAGTAAGTAAGAAGTAGACCCATCCCTGAGGAAGTGGCATACAAAGTGCAATCCCAAGTAATCAGTCAGGGAAAACAAAGAAGAGCAAATATGGATTTCATGGGGTAAATACATGGCATAGTCAAGTATGCCAAAACACAAGAGAGCAAGGCAATTTCAAAGACATCAGTGTTATTCAAGTATTGTTATGAGCCATCAAGTTGTTTCCATGTCATAGTGACCCTAGATGGGGTTTTCGAGGCTGTGTATTTCTGGGGGAGCAGAAAACCTCATCATGTAGCAGGTGGTGGGCTTGAATCTCAGCTCTTGTGGTTGTAAGTCCAGTGCTTATCTTACAGAGCCACCATTTTCCCTAAAGAGGTAAGGTGGTTTATTGACTCTGCTGTCAACTTCCCTCTCTTGTGGACAGGGGTCAGAGTCAGTTACCAAGAAATTAGAAGAGAAATGTGCTTTACAAAGATGAATCACTACACTTCAGATTCAGTATTAAAGTGTAAATTTTAAGGCTGATGAGTTTAGATCATGAAGAATTGTGTAGGTCATATTGAGTTTCAAAGGTTTCTTAACTGCAGAGGGATTTGTTAAAAACTTTGTAATACAGCAGTGTTATCTTTAGGAAGATCACACTGGCACAGACTTTTGAGCCGGTAGCAGAGAATAAGAGAGGAGATGAGTTAGGGACTGCTTCACTAGTCAAGTAAGGGAGACAGGGCCTGACCCACCACAGTGAGAACAAAGAGCAATGGGCAGACATTTTGGTAACAGCTATAGGAAGAGACTTCTGGTGTGGCGCTGTGGATTAATGTGCTGGTTTGAACTGCAAGGTTGGCAGTTAAGCTCACCAGTCACTCCTCAGTAACCCTATACAGGGTCACTATAGGTGGGAACTGACTCAACAACATTTAACAACAAGATAGGAAGAGAAGATGGAATCAAGAATAAATTAGATTCTATTTGGGGAAACTTAGTGAATTGAGGGAAAACATACAGAAGGAGTGGCTGGTTTTAGGAGGAAAAGGCAGCAAATTTAGTTCTGAAAAATAGTTAATGTGAGGTAGGATGGAACAGAGAGAAAGCTGGGTTGAAACTGATTAGGAAACATTTGTACAAGACATTGGTAGGACGTGGGTTAAACAGAGAAAAGGCCATCAGGAGGAAAAACTGAAGGACACTAATATTTAAGGGACAAAAAAGATAAGACTAGCCAGGACTTTTGTTGTTAAGTGCCATCGAGTCACTTTAGACCTATAGTGACCCTGTATAGGGTTTCCAAAGAGTGACTGGTGAGCTTGAACCATCGACCTTGCAGTTCAAACCAACTTTGCTGTCCAGCGCATTAAACTGTAGTACCACACCAGGATGGTAGGAAGAAAACTAAGACAGAAAGCTGGGAGAAGTGAAATTCAAGAATACAAATTTACCAATTGACTTCATTCATTGTTTAATGGTTGTGGAACATAGTATGGGTATAACATAATGTAATGAATGGATTAAAAAAAGAACCCAAATCAGAAAGAAGTTAAACAATGTCAAATGCTTCACAAAGATAAAGTTCTTTTGTGTGATAAGGACAGTTTGTCAACCTTACAAGAGTAATGTGGGGAGTAAAGTAGATCCCACATGACACTCCCCATACAAGACAAGTAGTCAGCAGATGTTGGTAATTGTCCCACGTAATAGTTTCTGTGCCTTACATGTGGCTCAGATGATACTCTTACTCCTAATCAATCACTCCTGCAAATACCCAGTCATCACATTTCTACTAATGTTAACATTTTTGGTGCTCCATTTCCCTTATCCCAAATAAATGGGTCTTGATTTCCCCTTCTGATTATGCCACTAGTCCCAACACTTATGGACTCATTGGCAGGATAAGTATAAGAGACATCTTAGTTCTGTTCAGCTCATTAATGTAATGCTGCGCTCTGGCTGCTTAGTTCTCTCTCATCAGTGAGAATGGCTCGATTCTGTGAGTAGACTGCTGGGACTGCTCTTTTCCTGGGTGATTTACTAATGTTTGTGTGTGTATGCACCAGGCCCTCTGCTGGCACAAGTGGTCTGTGCTTAATTGCTAACCTAAAAGTTGATCATCTAAATCCACCTAGCAGTGCTGTGGAGTCTTGGTGTGGGACTGTAGGATAAGCACTTGACCATAAAGTTGGTTTGAACCACAAGGTCAGTGGTTTAAACTTACCAGCTGCTCTTTGGAAACCCTGTGCTGGGTCACTGTAAGTCAGAACTGATTCGACAGCATGTAACAACAATAAGAAGTGGTACTGCAGAAGCAAAGGCCTAGAAATTTGCTTCTTTAAGATTTTTATCAGGAAAATCCTATGGAGCAGATCTACTCTACTGATATGGTGCTTGGAGTTGGAAAGGACTCCCTGACAACTAACAAGGTATGCACACATGACACGCTTGCATTTTCTGCACCTCTTTTATCTTCCCCAAGAAGTAGCTCAAATAGAAATGTCTAGCTTTCTTTAGGAGCAGGGTGGTCGTAGTGGAAAACATGCGCCAATCCAATAGAGGAGATAAGGAAAGTAGGACCAGATTGGAAAATATATTTTATAATCCATTAATATGTACCGATATCTTTTAAAATTATTCTTTTATTAAAAAACAAAACACAAAAGAATGTTTTCTGATCAAAAACTAACAAGAAGTCACATACTTTAAAAAGATTTACCACCTGCTATTTAGGGCTTTATTGACTATTGCCAAGTTTCAATGTATTTCAAATAATTAAATACTGCAACAGGGACATTAAAAATACATACTACTTTACCAAAATAATTGTATTCTGAATATTATGTACAATATTATACATTTTACATTACATAAAGGGGTTTTATACATATATGTAAGCCTTGATTTATGATTATGGAAAAGTCCAAAATACATTTGAATAAGACATTCCTATGCATACATACACAAATCAGTCAACTGGGATAATCAAAACCATATATGAATGTGGTTATTAAAATATAAAATTGTATTCATACAATAATGGGAGAAACTGAACTCTGACTGTATTAATTTGAGTGTGTTAATGTCAAATCACATACATATGAATTATATTATCTAGCTCTGATGTAGTTAAAAAGCTTTATGCTTACAACTAAAATATATTTATATTCAAGGGCAACTTTTGGTTTCTAATTTTTTTATTGTTGGGATTTATGATAATTCATAATCATTAAAATGCCTTATACATAGACAAAAAGCAAACCCAATCCCAGCAAGTAGAAAAGTCATGATCTGTATCATATTGTCATGTGGAACCTCTATGTTTGTTTGATTTTTTAAAAGAAGTTTTATTAAATTATAATTTGGTATGCCTTCATATTCATACTTGTCATTAAGCTGATTCTGTGTTGAGGTGCAGAGCTTAAAAAAGGAAGTAGAGAACTATAAATGGACACAAGATCACTGGGTAACTTTAGAAAAAAATACTGAGAATGGTTTCTCACATAGAAAATACACACTAAGTTAGTTTTCAAACAACCTGTCAGTCCTATGAAACTATTAATACTCTAATGTGTTACACCTTGTTTGGACACAGTTTCAGATTAACTCCAGGAAATCGTCACATGAGTTTTAGTACTATTTAACTTTCAAATTCAGTTCCTCTCAAGCACAACAGCTATGATTTTAAGTAATGCCAAACATTCTTATAACTGATCTGAAAAAATCTTTACTACGAAAAAAAAAAACAAAAAACAAAAAAAAAACTTTTCCAATTGTATGCCACTCTTTACATAGATATCATCCCAGAGACACACATACACCACCACCCACCCTCTGTTGTAGTCAGTAACGGCTCATGGTGACCCTGTAGGACAGACCAGAACTGCTCCCTAGGGTTTTGAAGACTGCAAATCTTTATAGGACAACGCCTCATCTTTTCCCCACAGAGTGACTGTTGGGTTTGAACCACTGACTTCATTACAGCCCAACACTAACCTACCACACCAGCAGTGCTCCTAAGAGCCACACAGACAGATGAATATTATAGCAGAACCTGGGAAGGGCACTAAATAGCAAATGGAGTTTTCTCCTTAAAGTTTGTACAGCATCTTGTGGTTTCACTGTTTTTATATCCTATACTTTATCAAAGTCAAAGAGAACATCTGGAAAACTATAAAGATAGAAAAGTAACAAGTTGAAACATATACAAAATTGATGTTCTTTTCAACATTTCATAATCTATGAAAAATGAGATTTGCTGCCTAAGGTTTGCTTTATCGTTTTTCTTCTGTTTCATGTTTAGCTTCAATATAAAAGAAGTTCTAACCTAGGTTATCAAAATATAGTCATATAAATGTATGAGTATTTCTAATATAAAAGTTAAAAAAAAGTCTAAATTCTTAATTTCTGCAATTAAATATCCTAGAGTTCAGTAGGCAGATTTATTTTTGAGCAGCTTGAGAAGAATCCCTTGGCTGAGTGTTGTCAGTGAGACTGCACACAGCTACATTTCAGCTCTTCGATGTGATTTTTCAGCAACAGCAGCCCCATCTTCTTCCTCCTCTTCCTCTTCCTCATAGTGTTCCTCTTGGCCTTTGCGGTGGTTGTCCTCTCGGACTTGTTCTTCTCCATCGTTGTTTTTATCATCAGCCTTAAAGTTAAAAAAAAAGCAAAGCTTGGTAAGACATAGGTAGGGAATAGAGTTAGAGGTATAAAATATTCCTCCAGCCCTTCTCACATTATTACAACTTTTTCAAATTCTAAGTTGGCCTATTCAACTCAGTGGCAATTCTGAGGTAACACAACCAACTGGTACTGAAGGAACAAAGGTGACACAAAGGTTAAGTGCTTAGCTGCTAATGGAAGGATCACCGGTGTGAACCCACCCAGTAGACTGACTCCTGATGTGGCACGGCAGGATCAGCACTGTTCTGTTAACCAAAAGGTCAAGGGTTCAAACACACCAGTCACTTCTTGGAAACCCAGGGCTGCTATGAGTTGGAACAGACTTGACAACACTTAACAACAATAGTGATTCTTCAGAAGAAAAGACTTGGTGATGTACTTCTGTAAAGATTCATTTTGAAAACCCTATGAGGCAGTTCTACTCTGTCATATAGGGTCACTATGAGTCAAAAATGGACTTGATGGCACTTAACAACCACCTCCAGCTCAGGACAATTAGGCTTCGAACCAGTTCATTCTGCTTCCACCTCTTGCTGAGAATACACTCCAGGCATACCAAATCAGAATTCAGAAGAATCACCTGGTGGTGATCCTCTGGCGATCTTGTTAGAATGTAGATTCTGACTCAAAATATCTGGGGAGGAAAATGCCAATCCTCAACAGGGAGTCAAATTGGAATGAACCAGTCTGATGCCTTGTTAGCAGGTAAGTATTCGTTCAGCAATTTAAACAAATACGTGCGTAAGCGTGCACACACACACACACAGAGGCTTCACAAAGTTTGTGGGAAAATGTCATTATCTTTAAAAATCCCATATTTCCATGAACTTTTGAAACCTCTCTCTCTCTCTTGATATGGTGTGGCACTGTAGGATAAGCACTGGACTTCAAGGAAAACTTAAACAGGGTCGCTATGGGTCAGAATCAACTTGAGAGCACTAAAACAACAACAAACACACACACATAAAATCATCTAAACCTTTTGGGACACTAAAATATAATACACGCACACACACATGTAACAGAAATGTGTATCCTACACATACATTTCCATCATAGGTCTCTTCAGCATTATGCTCCAATTCCCTTTTTTTCTCTTCAGTCAAATCTTCCTGAATCTACAACAAACCAGAGGTACTGTATAACACTTTCATCATTTAAACAATTGTAACAACAAATTTGGACCTCCAGAAAGTTTACTCAAAAGTAAAAGGCGTGACTTATGGATTAGGTACTAGGCAATACATTTTGTTTTTGTTAAGTGCCATCAAGTCAGTTCTGATTTACAGCAATCCTGGATAGGGTTTCTGAAGAGCAGCTGGTGGGTTTGAACCACCGACCATGTGGTTACCAGTTCAGTGCTTATCCTACAGCGCCACCTTAGGACTCCAAGCAATGTATAATACATGTATTCCCACCAAAGTCAATGTGACTGATTCAGACTTTGTGTCTTAATTCCTAATTTCTATCAATAAAAATTAACACTCCCAAGTATAGCACCTGGGGAAATTTAGTTTATAACGTCAAAAGGCCTCCCCTCCCCCATATCTCCCTGTAAAAGTCGGAAAGCTCAGGTAGTTTTTAAGTCCTATAAAAGCAAGAGGCTTCTATGTTACTCAACTTGAGAGATGCATACCCTAGATGCATACCCTGGCACAATTGCAACTGCTTAATAAATAATAAATTTGGATGTCAACTACCTGGCCAACTGACTGGAAGAGATCTATATTTGTGCCCACTTTACAGAGAGAGGTGACCCAATGGAATGCAGAAATCATCGCACAAGGTTATTGATATCCCATGTGAGTAAAGTCTTACAAAAGGTACTATAGATATAGCTGCAACTGTACATTCACATAGAACTTCCTGAAGTTCAAGCCAGTTTCAGAAGAGAACCTGGAACAAGGAATATCATTGCTGACATTAGATGGATCTTTGCTGAAAGCAGAGAGTATCAGAAAGATGTTTACCTGAGGTTTACTGACTATGCAAATGCTTTCAATTGTGTGGATCACGACAAGTTAAGGACAACATTGCAGAGAATGAGTATTTTGAAATACTTAACTGTGCTCATGAGGAACTTGTATATAGGTCAAGAAGCAGTTGTTCGAACAGAACAAGGGAACACCAAATGATTTAAAATCAGGAAAGATGTGTGCCAGGGTTGTATTCTTTCACCATACTTATTTAATATGTATGCTGATCAAATAATCTGAGAAGCTGGATTATATGACAAAAATCATGGTATCAAGACTGGATGAAGACTCATTGATAACCTCCAATATACAGATGATACAACCTTGCTTGCTGAAAGTAAAGAGGGACTTAAAATACTTTCTGATGAAATCAAAGACCACAGTCTTTGGTATGGGTTGCATCTCAATGTAAAGAAAACTAAAATCCTCACCACTGGACTAATAAGCAACAACCACATAAATGAAAAAAAAAAAAAAACCCTGAAGTTGCAAAAGATTTCATTTTGTTTGTATCAACCATCAACATTCACAGAAGCAGCAGTCAAGAAATCAAATGATGTACTGCATTATGCAAATCTGCTGCACAAGACCTCTTTAAAATGTTGAAGAACAAAGATGTCAGTTGAAGGACTAATGTGTGCCTGACCCAAGCCATTGTATTTTCATATGCATGGTAAATTTGGACAGTGAATACGGAAGATTGTAGAAGAATTGATGCATTTGAATTATGGTGCTGGAGAAGAATATTAAGAGTACCATGGACTGCCAAAAGAGCCAAATCTGTGTTGGAAGAAGTACAGCCAGAATGCTCCCAAGAAACCAGAATGGCCAGACTTCATTTCTCATACTTTGGACATATTATCAAGAGGAACCAGTCTCTGGAGAAGGATGTCATGTTTGGTAGAGTCAGGGAAAGGGGGAAGACCACTAAGGAGATTGATTGGCACATTGATAGCAGCAATGGGCTCAGTCATAGCAATGACTGTGAGGTTGGCCCAGGTCTGAGCAGTGTGTCATTCTGTTGTGCATAAGGTCGCAATAGGTTGGTACTGACTGGATGGCACCTAACAACTTCTTTGTTAACTTGTGAAAGACAATGAGCCAGTATGAGGCTCACTCTCCTTATATGTAAAATTATCCTTATTGTCTATATTTGGGATAACTATAGATAATATCCATCACATGCCTGATATACTGCTTGATACCAAATAAGTCTCTCATTAAGGTAGCCCGAGTGGTTTTTAATCATGGTTTTCACAGCAACAAGCTGTGTGGCATTTAATACTTTAGTTAACCTATCTGAACCTCAGATTTCTTATCTGTAAAATGAAGAGGCTGGATAGAAAGTAAGGAGCTTCAATATTCTATGTGTGTTTGGTGGGAAAGGAGTCATAGCCTTTGTAATATTTTGATGGAAAGATGCAAATGAGCATAGACAAACGGCATTTTAAGGAGTGCTATAAACTGCAAAAGGCGCTCTGGTAGTGTAGTGGTTACGAATCAGCTGCAAACCATAAGGTCAGTAGTTTGAAACTACCAGATGCTCCGTGGGAGAAAGATGAGGCTTTCTGGTCCCGTAAAGATTTACAGCCTCGGAAACCCTGTACAGGGTCGCTATGGGTCGGAACTGACTCGACAGCACTTAACAACAACAACATAGACTACAAAGCAATTTGAACTGCAAGGTTGGTGATTTAAGCTCAGCAGCTGCTCCTCGGAAACCCTATATAGGGTCACTATGGGTCGGAACCAACTCGACGGCACATAACAACAACAACAACATTGGTGCTGTAGGATAGCCACAAAGTCATCATTTCACACCAGGGGAGAAGGGTGAGGCTTTCTGCTTGCATGAAGATTTACAACCTCAGAAACCCTACAGATGAGCCAGAAGCTACTCAATGGCACTTATCAACAACACAGAATTTTACAGAGCAGTTTCAAGAGGTTGAGATTTCCTAGGGTTTATCCAGGACTGCCTGCCTTAGGACAGTGTGTTCTTCAAACATCAGTATCAGCTAAGGCATTTGTAAAAAATTCTGAATCTGAAGTCACACTAAAGGGCTCTGGTGGAGCAGTGGGTTAAGTGGTGGACTGCTAACTGAAAGGTCAGTGGTCATAGCACCAGAAGCTCCACAGGAGAAAGATGAGGCAATCTTCTCATAGTCTCAGAAACCCTATGGAGCAGTCCCAGTTTATCTTAAAGGAATCAACTTCATGGCAGGCAGTGGGTTGGACCCCACTAAACACAAGATCAAATTTCTATGGGTAAGATCTGGAAAAGATATGTATTTTTCACATGCTCTCTAGCCACATAAAAGACAGACAACCACTTTTCCCCTGAATGATAATAGATGCTTGGTTATAAATGTCTCTGGTGGGTGAGATAATCACCCTTTTACAAAATCTTTCTTTTCTAGACTTGGAATCTAACTGTATCATACTTATTGTTGTTGTTGTTGTTGTTAAGTGCCATCAAGTCGGTTCCGACCCATAGCGACCCTGTACAAGGTTTCCGAGGGTGTAAATCTTTACCGGAGTAGAAAGCCTCATCTTTCTCCCGCGGAGAAGCTGGTAGTTTCGAACTGCTGACCTTCAGGTTCGCAGCCCGATTCGTAACCACTACGCTACCAGAGCTCCTTACTTATTGTTGTTAGGTGCCCTCAATTCAGGAACAACTCATAGCAACCGTATGCACAGAAGACAAAACACGCCCAATCCTGAGCCATCCTCACATCATTGCTAAGCTTGAGCCCACTGCTACTGCCACTGTGCAAATCCATCTCATTGGGGGTTTTCCTCTTTTTGCTGACCTTCCACTTTACTAAGCATGATGTCCTTCTCTAAGGACTGGTCCCTCCTGCTTCCAAGTATGAGAGACAAAGTCTGGCCATCCTGGCTTTTAGGGAGCATTCTGGCGATACTTCTCCTAAAACAGATTTGTTTGTTCTTTTGGAGGTCCATAGTACTTTCAGTATTGTGCTCCAACACCATAACTCAAATGTCATCAATTCTTCTATAGTCTACCTATAGTCCAACTTTCACATGCATATGAAGCTACTGAAAATACCATGGTTTGGGTCAGGCACACCTTACTCCTCAAACTGCCCTCTTTGCTCTTGAACACTGTAAAGAGGCCTTGTGCAGCAGATTTGCCTAATGCAATATGTTGCTTGATTTCTTGAGTGCTGCTTTCATGAGTGTTGGTGGTTGATGCAAGCAAAATGAAGTCTTTGACAACTTCAATCTTATTTCCATTCAACTTGATGCTATTTATTGGTCCACTGGTAAGGATTTTTGTATTCTTCATATTGAGGTGCAAGCCATACCAAAGGTTGCGGTCTTTTATCTTCATCAGTAAGTATTTAAAGTCCTCTTCGCTTTCAGCAAGCAAGGTTGTATCACCTGTACATTGTAGGTTGCTAATGAGTCTTCCTCCAATCCTGATGCCACATTTTTCTTCATATAATTCAGCTTCTCGAATTATTTGCTCAGCATAGAGAGTAAATAAGTATGGTGAAAGAATTTAAAACCATTTGGTGTTCCCATATTCTGTTCGAACAACTGCCTCTTGGTCTATGTACATGTTCCTCATTAGAACAATTAAGTGTTCCAGAATACTCATGCTCCACAATGTTATCCATAGCTTGTCATGATCCACACAATTAAAAGTCTTTGTGTAGTCAATAAAGCACAGGTAACCATCTTTCTTATATTATCTGCTTTCAGTCAGAATCCATGTGACGTCAGCAATCATATTTCTTGGTTCACATCCTTGTCTGAATCCTGCTTGAAACTCTGCCAGTTCCCTGTCAATGCACTGTTGCAGCCATTTTTAAACTGTCTTTAGCAAAATCTTACTTGCATGCAACATTAATGATATTGTCTAATGTCAATAAAATATGAATTGGTAACCACTGATTTAAATTACTCTTTAAGCAACCTGTGAATGAAAATGTCAGCAGTTTCTGAACTTATATAAAATACACTTTTTATCTTAGTAATATAAAAAGTAAAATAAAAGTAAGATAAAAGGTAATAGAGACACTTTTTATCTTAGTAATATAGTCTTCATGTTCAGGGTCAAAGGTAATTCAAATTCAACTTAAAGCCATTACTGAAAAGGAACAAAATGATACGGA